ACCAAATTTTTTATTATTTAAAAAAATTAGTTTTATTTTTAAGTAAATAAAAATTATGAAATATATAAAATTATATTAAAAAATTTCAAAAAAATATTTAAAACATGTGTCCAATTTATTTTAATATTATTTTTAATCGAACACGATTCGGTGTGTTCGATACATTCAAAGGCGTGTCAAAAGTGTTGTGACTGATAGTCTGTCGGACACTGATACCTCATAGAGGAGAAATGGTTGTGCATCAAATATGAGAAGGCTGCTTTTAAACTTAAGTTGGAGTGGATGCAAAAATGATGATAATGAAGGTGTTATATGCATGGTCATGGAATCCTTGGCATCACAATAAACTAGATCCCCAATTCATTATTTGTTCACATGCATGCACTCATAGCCTACGAGTGGGTGATACTGCATGTTTGTTATGTGTAGTAATGTATGACTTCAGAAAATACTTTGTAATAGATCCAGTAAATAACGGTTGTCCTTTTGCACTAATCTATAGGATGGAATCCAATCAATAAATCCATCAAAACATCCATATGCTTCAATCACAACCAACCGAAATTCATGCATGGAAATAAATACTCCTGAAAACAGTGGACCGTGGCCACATCAGTACCTTGATTGTAGCAACAAGACCCAGCCTGAAAAATAAATAAGAGTAATCAAGTCAATATAATGCAAGTCCGCAAGTAAACAACTAAAAAATTATACATGGAATGTTGGATTCCAAAGTCAAAGAAATGGTCTAAAAGGTACGTGCTAAGATTGTATGTTAGCAACAGTCCAACATCCATTATAGAGTTCGTCATCATCATCGTCATCATCTAAAGCTTTATCCAGATTATTTGGTTTGGCTTTCAAATCATAAACTGTGGATAAGTTTTTAGGTTGACTTATTAATCTAGCGTCATTGAGTTAAATATGAATCTTATTATCCTTAATAAGTGAAAAAAAAAGGATGTGCTCAGAAGCACCTAAGTGTTTCCTCATTTTCTTAGATTAAAGCTTGCCACAAACAAATGCCTTGGTATCATAATACTTGCTTTCATCAAAACCAGATTAATTGGCTAGGGATGGAGTGTGCACACTAACATATCAAATCCAACTTCCTCAACTTTCAATTACCTCTCGCACTCTCATAAGGAATAGGTGTGAGCAATGATGGGATTAAATTCACATGCCATTCACAACGTGATACATCCGGATTTAGTTTAATTCTGCATCATCCAGGACTTCTTAGCTTACAAGCTTGCATTCCTTAAGCTATGCACCGGATGAGTTTATTGCAAGGCTGGGAAAAGAAGAAAGGACATTTATATGCTGGTGCCTCAACCACTCCAAGATGGGACATGGCGAAAAGAGATGCCTTGACACCTAATGAACCAGCCTAATCTGTTAGCTGCTTATTTCAAGAATACAAACTTATTACCTGTTTCAGTTCTTAGAAAGAAAAAAGAAAAACCAATTAGAGGTCAACAACGAAACAGTAAAAAATTTTATTGCTCACAGTGCAATTACAGAAAGAACTCACAAAAATGGCTTGGTAGCAACTATCATCAAAAGTACAAATGCAGACAAAGCCGTCACAAATAATCCTTCCCTCACTTGAAATTTTGGATGTAATTTTCACTCAAAAGAAGCAACAAAAAATATCAAATATCCACAATCATATAAGTCAGCTGAAAATACAACGGTCCTGATGTCAAGATCACCTCATCCATCATTAAACAAACAAACAACCAACCAGAAATACCGGTTTATCATCTTCATGACTACATCCACTAAACATATTATACCATCTGATGTATCATAATGTTCAATACCTCAGAACTGGACATTCAATCCATATAACTATACAAAGCAAACCAGAATTTTCAAAATCTTAAAAAATCTAGCAATCTCAATGCTTTACTTAAATCTGCGTAGCATACAGGCTTCATTATTTCAGCTACGGCAATAAATTTTATTCCAAAACATATCACGAGAAGTAAAGCATACTCTCAACAAAATCTTGGCAACAACAGAAAGGATACCAAAACAACAATCTACGAGTTCACATGCTTTAATACCAACCATGAGGAAAATTGATGCAATACCACTGAAAAATATCAGCAAATGCCAACCACTATAACCTACATACAAGTTCTCCAGGACAGCCTAAAGAGAACACATAAATAACACCAAAACAGGGAAATTTTTGACGGGTTGGCAGCATATAATGCTAAAAAGAATTGTGGTTATCATGAATAGGATTACCCAACTTTTCGGAAACTGCTTAAGGTCTCCATCAATCCACTTATTCTTGTTGAAAGTTACCTGAGTGTTTGAATCTATTGCGGGGAAAGTTACCTGATGTGTGAGTCAATTGTGGTAAATCTAACTGATAATTAAACTCTGTCAACCATTATTGGCAACCACCCTTCATCCAAAAATTAGAATCTTAGAAGCAAGATCACAAAGAAATATCAGTAACCAACTCCAATACAAAGAGGGCTCTAACCATCCTAAGCAGAAATTCATGCCTACCCACTTGTCAAAGAAGATATGTTATTGTAAAATTCTATTCATAGCACTTCGAATGTGCTTAATTAATATGGTATTTTGGTAGATTGGAATAACTCGTATACACATATCAGAAGAAAAAGAAAGAGAGAGATTAATCAGGACATATTTCAATATTAAAAATATAATATAGTTCATCTGAACATTCAAAACATTTTTATCTAAGATGTTTAGCTTATATAAAAATATATTCTAGGCATGACGTAGTTCATATCAAATTATTAGTTGAGAGTGTCTTATTTTTTAAGTTACTACAGCTATGTAATTGATTGCATTTCGTTCCATCATCATTAGCCTTATTCCATAAATTTCAGGTGCACATGAAAATTTGTAAGTTTAACTTTGAATGGGTTTGCAAAAGAGAAAAAAAAAAGAGGAATTAAATTGCAAAAAAATGTAATTTAAAAATAAGGGGAGACAACCAAATGAAGAATAAAGAAAAAAACTAATATTAGTTTGAATAGAGAAACAAAGAAACATACTAAGCGATCCCTCCCATCCCTTCCCTCCCCCCTCCCTCCCCTTCTCTCTCTCTCTCTCTCTCTCTCTCTCTCTCTCTCTATCCATGAAATCATCTTTAAGCTACCTAAAACCCTGAAAGGCATGGTTTGGTTCCCAAGGAACAACCGCTAGCTCCTTTCTCTCTCTCCTCTTATTAGATTAGGGAAAGCTACTATTCTCAATAGAATCCTTATTCTTTTATCCTAGTAACTTCCTATCAATTCCCTGACTTTGCCACACATCCACTACCAAATAACTTAGTTTAGGGGAAGCAATCTAATAGGCATTACACAGAGATACTCTATCAGAATGATAACACATCCAAACATTAAAATCCTCTGCCTTCAGATATATAAAGAAATTGATGGGCAAGTTTGGCAGTGTTAGTGATATTTAGGATAGGCTAATTAAGTTGCACTTTTAAAATTTTCATAATATATTATCCTACCCATGAGACATTTTTAACCATTACTAAAAGGGATTTTTTCTTCTATCTGATGGTTAATTGGCTGCATTCCTTTGTCAATCATTATTGACATCACCTTCACCAAAATTAGAATCTCAGAAGCAAGATCACAAAGAAATTCCCTTTCCAAGAGGACTCTAATCATCCCAAGAAGAATTTCATGCCTACAAGTGTCAAATAAGATACCTAATCTCACAATTCATTAACAACGCTTCATAATATGTTATATTGATGGACTGGAATAAGTCAGAATGACTGTCATTAGAGAAAAGAATGAGACATATTCAGGACAAATTTCAATATTGGAAATATAACAGCCTTACCTTCATCTGAACAGGTCCTGCAAAAAGCAAAACTGATGAGGCATTATTCATAAACATTTTAAGGTATAAGCAGAGAGTAATTACAAAATTTTCAAAAAAAGGAGCAAAGTCAACATTCGCC